ATAGCAGAATATAGTGAGACTGCATGGAATTATTATCAGTCTATAAAGAAAGGACAAAAGACAGATACCCATATTTTAACTTGGGAACACAATTCCCAAAGTGCATTTCAGAAGCTTAAACAAGCACCTCTAAATGCCCCAGCATTGAGCCAACTGTCCATTGGTGAATGGAGGGGCATGGCTTTGGAAGTACTTATGCAGGATCAAGGACCTGCTCAACAACCTGTAGGGTATCTGAGTCGTGAATTAGACATTGTGCCAAAGGATAGTCTGAATACCTTAGAGCTGTGGCTTTTGTGTCTCTCCTAGTGCCAGAGGCACCCATGCCGACTTTAGGCAAAGATCTAGCTGTATATACCCTCATAATGTGACAGGATTTCTTTCTGCCAGAGAAAGCCTATGGCTATCAGGTAACCAAATTCCTAAATACCAAGTTGTACTTCTAGAAGAGCCAGCCATTCAAATAAAGACATGTTCCTCCTTAACCCTGCCACTTTTCTCCCAGAGTAGGAGAAAACTGAGACTGAAAGATATACTTATGAACAAGTAATTCTCCATATGTGCACAACTAGAGAAGGCTTATTACACACACACACACACACACACACACACACACACACACTTACTGACCTGATTAGTCCTTCTTCTCTGACAGCAGTTCCTTCATGGAATATGAAATAAGAAAGTCAGAGTATGAGAATTCTTCACTTACGCCAAAGACTAGTCCTCAAGTATCAGGACTCATAGCTCTAACCAGGACTTTTCAACTCAGTGAGAGACTAAAAGTCAATATTTATACTGATTTAAATTATGCATTGCTAGTATTACATGCCCTTGTGGTGATATATAGAAAAAGTTATTATCTGACAGCCAGTGGGTATCCTATAAAGTATCATAGGGAGATAGGTGAGCTTTTATTATCTGTCTATATGCCCCCCAAAGTGGCAATTATTCACTATAGAGGACACTAAAAAAGAGTTGAAGAATTATCATCATGGCTGATGTAGCATAAAAGAAGCTGCTCCAGCCCCCCTTTAGGCCCTTTTGATCTGGAAAAGGTCCCTCAATCATATTCAGCCCAAATATTCTTAATTAGAAATCAAATGTACTCTTTACCATAGATGCCAGTTCCTTCCATCAAGATGGTTACAGTCAGATGATGGTAAATTGTTCCTTCCTGGTGCTAGTGAATGGAAAATTATTAAGTCTTTCCATCAAACCTTTCACTTGGAGAGACAAGACCCAGCAGAGGTCCTCTGGTTACTCATAGGAAAGTGACTTTCTTAAACAATACAACACATGGTTAAGACATGTGAGCTCTGCCAAAAACAATCCTCTTAACCCAACTGTAGTTCCTCCAGGTATAAAAGGACAAGATAAATGTCCTAGAGAAGATTGGCAGCTCGATGTTACTTATAAGCCTAAGAGTAAGGGACTATATAGTACCTGTTGTTCTGGGTAGATACCTTCACAAACTGGGTTGAGGCCTTTCCTTGTAAAGCAGAAATGATATAAGAGCTTGTAAAGCCTTTGGTCTCAAAAATCATTCCTAGATTCAGACTTCCTAAGCACTTTCAGAGTGACAGGTGGTCTTATTTTGAAGGAACAATCACACACGGTGTCTCCTGGGCACTTCACATTTTCTGCTACCTTCATTCATTGGGCAGAGAGGCCACAATCATCAAAAAAGATAGAAAAACTAAATGGGACCCTAAAGAGATAACTTTGCCAAATGGCTCAAAAAACCCACCCATGGTGGCCTCACTACCATTAGCTTTTATCAAAATAAAAAATATATCTTAAATTCTAGGTCCTGGTCCACTTGAGATGTTTTGTGGACACCTTTTTCTCACTGATTATTTTCTCTTCAGTAGAGAAACAGATGCCTTACTAAAAGATGCCACCTCACTGGCTACATCCTAACATACTCTTCAACAGCCACCAGAAGATCAGCCTAAAAAGAATGGAAATCCCTTACTCTAACCCACAGATTTAGTTTTGGTAGTCTCTTCCTTCGTCAACCCCTTTCCTAGGACCAGCTTGGGAAGGACCATGCATCATCATCCTGTCCACTCCATCAGCTGTCAAGGTAGCAGGCCCAGATTTCTGGATACAGCACACCTGACTCAAGCCCTGGGAACCAGAGAGTGAACAACCATCCAAATACTCCTGTGAATCTGAGAAGACACAAAATTCTTGTTCAAAAAAAAGACACAGTCTTCAGATAAGTGATCTAGGATGTTACTCCTAACCCTTTTACTAATTACCACTTAAAGGAGAGATCAATTCCTTTCTGTCTGGGCACAGAAATATGCAATCATTACAACAAACATCTTGCTAGATATAGGGTCTCCTCAGGACTATCTTGGTGGGTATCCCCACTTCCAAGAGATGATTAGAATAAACGACAAGTACTTTGATGGGACATGAAAAGTCTCAGTGATTCATAGTTTAGCACCACCATTACAAGATAATTGAGTGGCCTATAAATTACACTCTTAATGATCCTAGACATAAATGAGTTTTTCTAAAAATGCCACTGAAGCCTCCTACAGATGCTAGTAAGACCCTATTAAATAGGGATAAGTGTACTATCATGAAAACCTACAATATAAAGATGGCTACTTTCAAATATGGAACCATTATATATGGTGAACTCCAACTACAGGACAATTTAATAGAAGGGTTCCCTTATGTTGGAAAGAAAAAAGTCACTGTTACTCTGATTGGCCTACTAAATACTTGGGATAAACACCCTTCAATCAGTGTGTTAACACCATAACCTTACAGGCCAAAGTCTGTTTTGCATCAGACAGTTTAGTCACCCTAAAGTTCAATGAGAAGCCTCCAGTGGCTTTCATTAGCCCTGTGGGACCAATTTGTGGCCCTGGCTACCCCCTAGGTGGATAGGGAGATGCACCTGAGATATGCATGGTTACCAGCCAGCAGTGTTAAAAACATAAACAACCTGCAGACTGACCCAATCTATGACATCGATGACCTAACAGTGTGTTTCACTAGTATGATAATTTGGCTCTATCTTTGTCCCTTCCCTGGCATTAGATGTCATGCAACCCATGGAGGCCTTGACTAATTATACTCAATAAGGCCTTCAATAATTTCTCTCCTAAATAAATAGAATTGATGAGACAACTTGTCCTGTAAAATCAGACAGTGTTAGACATTCTAACGGCAGCACAAAGGGATATTTGTGCAATAATAAAATCTGAGTGCTGTATGCACATTCCTGATCCTTCTGCTAATATCTTGATGGCTGTTCAAGATATTAAATGACAGGTTAATGCCATGTCAGATTCTAAAATCCCCTGGACCTTCTTCTTACCCTCTTTGTGGGAAGATATTACTGGCTATTCCTGGTGGAAACATTTATTGGTTATATTCATAATAGCCTTCTTGATATTATTTTTTAAATCAGACTTTATTGGTACATAGCTTATTTTTCCCCATTCACCTACCCACTTCTAAATACCTCCTTCCTTCTCCATTTACAAAAGTTTTGTTTCCATTTTTTCCTTCTTTGTCTCTTTTTTTTACTTTTCCCTTACTTTTATCCCTTCCCTCTCCTTTGTTCTCCCCACTTAAACATTTTCTTCCTATTTCATAATACCTATTACACATTTTGGTCATTATTTATACTTTATATTTCTTACATCAAAGAAACAGTGCAGTATTTACACATGTGTGTCCAATTTATTTCACTTAAGAGTACAGTCTCAAGGTGTATCCATTTTCCTAGAAATGTCTCAAACATACCCTTTTTATGGCAGCATAGTATTCACTTGTTTATAAAAGACCCACATCTTTATCCATTCACCAGTTTATGGGCTGTTGGTGCTTTCTCTTGCTGTGCTTCCAAAATTTGACTGTTACAAATGGTGCCTCTATGTGGTGTGTGGTGTGCACATATCACTGTGGTGTGATGCTCTTAATTCTTTTGGGAAGATACACAGGAGGGGAATAGCTGGGTCAAATGAAACCTCTAGACCTAGTTTTTTGAGGAAACTCTACACTGATTTCTGCATTGATTGCACCAGTCTACACTCATGCCAAGAGAGGAGAGGGTTCTTTTATTCCCACAGCCCCACCAGCATTTGTTATTGGTTGATTTCTTGATAACAGTCATTCAACCTGGGTGAGATGGAATCTCAGTGCCATTTTAATTTGCATCTCTTTTTTTTTTACTTTTTCATTTTTATCGGTACCGGGGATTGAACTCACGACTGCCTGCTTGCAAGGCAGGTGCTTATGCCGCTGAGCTAAATCCCTAGCTCCCTAATTTGCATCTCTTGAATGACTAGTGATGTTGAATATTTTTTCATATATTGTGATTTGTACTTCTTCATCTGAGAAGTATACATTCGTCTCAGATGCCCATTTTTGGATTGGGTCTTTAAATTTGGGGTGATCTGTTTTTTGAGTTCTTTATATATTCTAGATAGTAGCCCTTTGTCTGAGGAACAGCTGATAAAATTTTTTCACACACTTTGGGTTGTCTGTTCACTCTGTTGGTGCTTTCTCTTGCTGTGCAAAAACTTTCAATAATGTGAGCACCTATTGTTAATTCTTTGCATATTTCTTGTGTGACTGGAGTTTTGTTCGTGAAGTCTTTTGCCTAGAACAATGTCTTCAAGAAATTTGCTTACGCTATCTTCCAGCACATTTAATGTTTCTCTTTTAATATTTAGATCTTTGATCCATTTCAACTTTATATTAGTGCATGGTAAAAGATATAAGCCTAATTTTAATCTTCAGCACGTAGAGAGCCAATTTTTCTAGCACCATTTATTAAAGAGGCTATCTTTCTTCCAGTGAATATGTTTGACACCTTTGTCAAAGTGGTTAAGTACGTCTGGAGTTGTTTCTGTATCTTCTAATCTGTTCATTGATTCTCAGGTCTGGGTTTTTTTTTTAATCACAGTAGCTTTATACTATAATTTCAAGTCAGGGATCATGATGACCCTGGTTCCAAATGAATTTTAGGGTTGTTTTCTCTTATTCTGTGGATATGCTGTTGGAATTTTTAATCAAATTATATTAGATCTTTAAAACAGTTTTGGAAGTATGGCCATTTTCACTATATTGTTTCTTCCTACCCAGTGATAAGGGACATCTTTCAATTTTCTGATATCCTCTTCAATCTCCTTTTTCAGAATAGTGTAGTTTTCAATGTAGAGGTCTTTTACTTCCTTTGTTAGGTTGATTCTTAGGTATTACATTTTTTGCATGCTATTATGAAAGGTGTTGTTTCCCTAATTTCTCAGTGAGTTTCTTATTCATGTACAGGAAGGCCATTATTTTTGAGTGTTGATTTTGTATCCAGCTACACCACTGAATTTTCTTATTAAATCTAGAAGTCTTTTTTGGTGACATTTTGGGAGTCTTATATGTAGAGTATCATGTCCTCTATAAATAATGATAATTTAACTACTTCATTTCCTATTATGAATTTTCTTTCTCTTGTCTAATTGTTCTGGCTAAAGTTTCTATAACTATATTGAATAAGATAATGAACATTCTTATCTTGTTGATCTTATTATTTGGCCATGCATACTTAACTGTTTCTTTGGCCTTGTCTCCTCCGACTTAAAGCTACATGCTTACCCCAAGATGAGAATGCCTGATGTCTATCAGGGGCCTTTAGACAGACCCTCTGGAGAATCTCTGACTACTGTTCATAGTCAGAATGGTCATTGCGTCTTACCCTCTCATGGTAGTTAGGGTTACCTCTCCAGAAAGGACAATATTATAAATAGCTGAGTTAGGTAGAAACATTATAGGCAGTTGGGCTGGGTCCTCCAGAGTAAGGGCAAAGATGAAAACACTGCGACTATGGCTAAAGGTGTGCATCTGCTGGAGGCCAGCCTCATGATAAAAACAGAATGACCAGGCTTGAGATAAATGTAACAACTGGTCTAACGAAGTCTAGGTAGACACTGGGCACCTTGGTGGGTGATCAAGAGCCTTGGACTCACTAAACAGTTCTTTGTTTTTCCATGTACACGTGCAATGTGACTGGCTCCCCACTGGACCAATATTACCTCAGAAGCTATACCTACAATCTTATTGATTATAACTGTAATCCATGTTGTACCTACATGGTTGTGCTCTATAAAACTTCCCCCTAAGGAGTGGAGTCCTCAGGAACTCACTTTCTGGTTCCCTCCTCTCAGGAGCTAAAATCTCTCCCCTCAATGAATATTTTCTACTCTTAATATACGTTGTTTTTTAGAATTCATTCGATTTGGGAAACACAAACTTGGCATATCAGACATCTAGCAGATGGGAGTTACAATATTTTCTTTGTATCTTAGAAGTCCTGATACCATTTCTATAACAAAATGAAGCAGGTTTTTGGAAGATCAGCCTAGATCTGACATCAGCCTGAAGAATGAGAGTAAATTCTCTCAGTGGCTCACTCTCACTTTGCAGAGGGTACGTCTTCTACTTTTAGTAAATGTAGAAACCTTCCTACCTTTGTCTTGTCCAGTTCTTTGCTAAGACTAAGTACCTGGCAAGAGTGTACTGAACCCATAAATCTAACAACAGTGGTGCAGGACTATAATCTTGTGTTTCCCAAAAAATAAGGCCCAGGGCCAGGGATTTAGCTCAGTGGCACAAGTGCCTGCTTGGCAAGTAGGAGATCATGAGTTCAATCCCTGAAATAACAACAACAAAAAGGCCCAACTAGAGATTAAATATACCAGGCCCAATCAGCTTGTCCTCACCTTACTTGCCATTACAGAGTAGTCACTGAGCAAGAGAATAGTGAGGTATAATCACTGTTCTCTGACACTGGCCCTCTCCATGGTGCAACCAGCTATTAATTACAGTGGAGGTTTTTTTTCTGGGTGGGTATTATTTGGGAGGAAATAAAGTTCCAGTGCTCTAGGAGGCTGAGGGAGGAGAATCAAATTTCCAGCCTAGCCTGGGCAATTTGGTGATTTAGTAAGACCCTGTCTCAAATAATAAGGAGAGAGGGCACTATGGATGTAGCTTAGTTGGTAGGCACAGGATTCAATCTTCAGTTTCAAAATAAAATAAAACAGCATCGACCAAAAAGGGTTCATGATACATTTTAAGTGAAAAGTTAGTTGTAAAACACTATACGCATATTATCATGTACTAGGTCTAAGATTCCCAAAGCTAGGATAAGGAACTTAACCCACCCTAAACAAAGAAAGTTGGAGGCTCACTGACTCCTGCTACAAAAAAGAATTTTCAGGAAGCATCAATAAGAGGCAGAGGAACAAAGTCAAAGAAATAGACCTTAGGAGAAAGATCAGAGGAGAGGGAGGAAAGGAAGAGAGAGAGAACAGGCAACAGTAAGAGCTGGAGCTGAGGTTTTGGGGGCATTTTCAAGACAAGGGGGATCTAGGATGTATGTTCCCACTGTCAGAATACAAACAATTTACATATGTTTATAAGTTGAGATCTGCTGCCCACTAACATTGCTGCTTCCTTGAGAGCAGAGGATGCACAATTTACAGGTGAAATCGACAGGTCCAAAGCCCTGTTTATAGGCTTACTGTGTCTTTTGGACCTTTAGGAATTTTTTGAGGGAGTTTCTTGGAAAGGAAAAGGCCTTGAGTAATGTTTGTGTCCTAAATTCGCAGTTTCTCTTAAAAGCAATTTTTGTACCCAATTTTTACAATTAAATTTATTGGTACAATTTAGATATACATAATTATCATTCATCATAGGGAATTTGTACCTGTAGATGTTATATCTCGAGTCCCTTCTTGCCTGCCCTCACTTACAAAGCTTTGTTTCTGTTTTATTATTTTTCTCCCCTCCTCCCAATTTCCCTTTCCTTTTGAACAATTTCTTCCTATGTCACAATTCCTATTATACATTTTTATGCTTTTTTACACTTTGTTTCTCACACCAGAGACAATATATTTACACATGTCTGGTTTATTTCACTTAAGAGTATGGTCTCAAGGTGCATCCATTTAACTACAAATGCATCATTTATCCTTTTTTATGTTCTCTCCATTATATGAAAAACACACAAAAGTAAAATTTTAAAATCCCAATTTACTTGTCTCTTTTATGCTTATTTATGTCTTCAGTCCTACCTCAGTATGATCATGGTGTTACAGTACAAAGTTTGGTTCTGCTCGCCATATGACTGCCAATATTTAGAAGTGAGAACCGGTGTCAAGGAAATCAGATTTTATTATGAACTAGCTTGGTTGTGGGCACCCTAATGATGATCTCAAAGAATTGTGGAACAAGATAAGTTTTCGGAGGAAGTGGATTAGTCAACACAGGCCAGGTGCTGCTGAGTAGTTTTCTAGCCACAGGATGAAGGTCATTTGTCATTCGAGCAATGTTTTCTCTTCAGTCCTGCCTCAAAAGACCTTGTCTCCTCTCTTCCCCTCCTGCAAGTCTTTGGATTTTTATGCACAACAACATTATTCTTCCTTCCATTAGCAAGTCCTTAGCACACATTTCAATGTTATTTAAAGACCACTAGGTGGTCCAAATCCTGAAAAACTACTCATTAGGTTGGGGGAACCAATGTTTTTTCCTTTGTCCCGCCCCTTCTCCCTGGAATACTTCACTATAGTAGTCAAGACCACAGCCATTTGAAGTTCAGTACTTTAAAAAAATCTTTTAGGATTTACAACGCAGGGCAAAAGAGGAAAGCACAAGGGCCAGTTCCATAAGATAATTCCAAACAAGAGGATGTAAGCCACTGATATTGTTAGAAATAATGTGCACATAAAAAGATGTGCACGTAAAAGAACGTCCTAGGTAAAGTTCAGGTAGTGGCCAGAGACGAGAAGGTGCTTTCTTTTAAATTTTTTTTTACATACAAAATTTCCTTTATTATTTTGAAACAGTGTCTTGCTAAGCTGTCCCTGGCACTGGTGGCTCTTTCTTTCCTATTAAACACTACATTGCTCAACTGTCTTTTTCCTGTTTCTAGAAAATAACTAACCATGCTTGTCGCTGTTACTCTAGGTGAACTCAGTGGTGAGATGATCGTACACTCCACGGTAGCAAAGATCTCAGAACCTCTGTGGCTCTCCCTGTGGATCTCCTGCTCTAAGATGCAGGGGTGACTGTAGTAGCAGCAGCTATTCACCCCAAATGAGGAAGATCCTCTCAATGAGGGTCTCCAAAGCAGGGTCTGAACTCAGTGCCCGCGCCTGGTGCTTCAATGCAAGCCCGGGAACCCCGCGCCCGCTCGGAGCTCCCCACCACCGCGACCCCCGCCCCTCTGCGCATGCGCACCCGCCTCCCCGCGCGTCCGCTGCGGCCCCGGGTCCCCCGTGGAAAAGCACGCCCAACCTCCGGGTCCGTGCTGTGAGGGAGCGCCGAGTGAGCCGGGTGAGCTGGGCGGGCTAAGCCGGACCCAGGGCCTTCAGGGACGCGCTGGGGGCCCCTGGGGAACAGGAGAGGGGCGGGCCCGCGAGGAGAGGCAGGAACGGCCTGGGGCGAACTCCTGCTGGGAGAGCCTTGGGTCAGCGCGTGGACGCCAGCTCTGGGATTTGAGCGCGCCCAGCCCTGCAGAGTTATGGTGCTGCGTGCGGCCACGCGTGGGGAGTGCGCGTGCGCGGGACCCGAGGCTCGGCGCTCTGCTGGGAGGGAGCGCGCCATGCGTGACGTGCGTGTGACGCGTACGAGCGCGCCTCGTGCGCGGCGAGGGGTGGGGCTGCGGGCGGCGTCGTGGGGTGTGAATGCGACCCCCGGAACCTGAGGCTGTCCGAGTCCCGGCGTCTCCGTACCATGTGGCCGTCAGGCGCGCTCGCCACCCCGGGTTGTCCTGAGCACGCCAGTCCCCTAGGCGGCGGCTGCGTCTCCCCTGTGCGTGACGCTCCGGGCGGGTTCCGGACCGGCCGCCGCCGGCGCTCGGACTGGCTCCCGGGGCTGCGGCGTCCGTGAGGAGCTGGCGCCGGCCCGCGCTCGCCGCTCGCGTGTCGCGGTGACAGCGCTGCGAAGCCCGCGAGAAGCGAGGTGAGCCGAGCCCGGGACTGGGGGCTCGGTGCCCGACCTCCGGGTGAGGGCACAGCCCTTGTGCCTCCGCCGGCCCCTCCTTGTCTAGATTAAAGCTTCGAGAAGAGGAGGTGCCTGGTTCGCATCGCGCAGATGACTGACGTGATCAAAGTCAACCTGATTAAACAGCCTTTTGAAAAACTGAAGAAGTGCGGACAAACATTTAATAAACTTTATCTTGTCTTAAACACCTCTGTCCCTTTTTACAGAGGTTTCTTGGAGTATTCAACCTCAAGGGATTAATGGTGTCAGCACAAAAGTAGATAATATGGCCTCAGTTTCTGTTTTTCTCTCTTACAACAGTAGTTTTGATAAATCCACAGTATTTGCTCATGTAGTGTCCCTGTTATTGGTTAAACTCATCTCTATTTGTTTTTAATTTTTCTGTGTCACAGACCCCAAATTGCTAATAAATCAATAAGAAATGTTTACATTCACTCAGTGAAAAGTATCATGTCTAAGCTCAACGTATATCGGAGTCAACATGGACATGTAAGTATCTTGTGTGTGGAGCTGTGTAGGCAGGTGAATCCGGGAGCTCCGAGGCAGGCCATGTGTGTCCTGACATCCATCCTTCCTTCTTTCTCAGCTCTCCCTCCTCCACTAAGAGCGGAAAATGAGCAAATCACAGGTAAGTTGTTTACTTGCACTTTGTAAGGATTTTTAAGTGGGAAGAAACAATGGGCAAAAGTTTCATCAGCTAGTCTAGGTGTTCAGCACCAGGTGAACTGACAAAAAGTGATGTATAGACAGACTGGAGTATTACTCAACCAATAAAGAATGAAATTTTGCCATTTGTAGTGAAAGGGGTTCATGAACAGTATAGGAATCCAAGCAGCCAAATTGATAAATTTGGAATTTTATTAGCTGAGTTCAGGGCTGTTTTAGAGTTCCATGGAGAGGTGCCAAACTGGGAAGTTACAGAGCTTTTAAAACAAAACCACAAAAAGGCATCCTGTTGGAAACAATTTAGCTAAACTCTTACATTAATGTTTGGTTGACACCTGTAATCTACTTCTTTGTTGAGCAGTTATTTTTCTGGTGTGGGTGCAGCTCATTCTGCTATTATCATGGGACTTGTACCCTGAGTACTTTTCCATTCTCCTGGATCAAATACAGGACACTAGTTAAATGCAGGGCTCAAGAGGGCATCAGTTATGCCAAGCTACAACAGTAGGAAAATGTAAAGCTCTAGAGAGCGACACGTTGAATAAAATAACCCAGACTCAAAGAGACAAATATCAGATGTTTTCCCTAATACTGGAGTCTGAAATGTGTGGTGGCACACACCTGTAATCCTAGCATTTGGGAGGCTGAGACAGGAAGATCGCTGCAAGTTTGTGGTGAGCCTGGGTTACACAGTGAGACCCTGCCTCAAAAAACAAAACAAAAAAAGATGAACATAGAAAGGCAACTATTAACAGCTAAGAGGAAGGGAATCAAGGGGAAGAATATAAGGATGAGTAAAAGGGGAGATGGATTTAATCAAAATGTAAGCTTTGAACCCCCTAAAATGTGAAACTAGTGGGGACTGTGTGTCTAGGGGATAATTGGGTGAGAGGATGAAAGTATGTTATGTGCATGTACAGATTTGCTAAAATGAAAGCTATTAATCCAGATAGCCAGTATGCACTAATAAAAGATGTGAAATAATACAAAACAAAGTTGCATTAAAGGAAGTATACAAATTCAGAGTAGGAAGTGTTTGGCAAAGTAGATGAAGGATTTTTAATTTTACAGGGTTATCCAGGTTATTGTAAAGTTTTCTCTGGTCTACCTAATGACAATTCTGAAATAAATGCAGTGTCTCATGTATTGTCATTTCTGGGTAGAAACATAGTACCAAGGGAGCTGAAGCTTTGAGGTTTGATAGCTGGTGCTCTGATGGTCTTTCTTGACCCAGGAATAAAACCTGGAAGATGTGGAGGGATGGAGGGAGTGTAAGTCTTTGAAACACTGCTAAATGTACCAGTTTTTGCTTCTAGAATTACAGGCAGTTCTGGCTTATGTTTCTACATTTCAGCCTGATAACTATAGCTTTATCACCTCTAGAAAAGGCCTCCAAATCATAATCAAGGCTAGTTAGTGGATTTTTTGGATTTTACTCCATCCTTCAGCAGCATTTGACAGCATTAACAATGGTCTTTGTTTTGAAAATCTCTGTGTGACCTGTTTCTCTGATATCTGTTCCTAACTCTGATTTCCTGCCAGCCCTCATGAAGACTTTTGCCATACATTGTTTATAGGGCTTTCCATTTTTGGTCCACTGCACTTCTTTTTTATTGACTGGTTTCATGGCTCTTTTTCTTTTTGAGACAGGGTCTCACTGTGCAGTTCAGGCTGGCCTTGAACTCACTTTGCAGCCTAGGCTGGTCTTGAACTCGTAAATGATCCTCCTGCCTCAGCTTCCCTGAGTGCTAGGATTACAGGTGTGAGCCACCACACCTGGCTCTCGTGTTTTTTAAAAATAGAACATTTTTGCATTATTAATATACTGTATTAACGTGTTTAAGAAGGCAAATGATTATATTTTTTAAAAATCCTTTACAGACAAGAATGGAAAAAGTAATACAGATGATGCAAAAATGTGTACTCTTTCCCTCCGTTTCTGCTTCTCCCTTTGGGTAGGTTGATAGTAATCCTCCAGAGATATTTTCACTAAATGTGAAAGGGATTTTTAAGATTTACACTGCAACAGTAGCCACGTATTGGGACAGCCCCAGACAAAGCGGACAAAGCAGTTACTCGAGATACCCAGTTTTAATAGTTCTTGTCCTTCCAGTCTCCCCTTATCAAGTTTAAATATGGATGTGCACTAGGAATGTGGCACATGCCTGTCATCCCAGCACTCAGGATTATAACCCTGCTGAGGCAGGGGGACTGCCATGAGTTGGAAGCCAGCCTGCGCTGCCTGGCTGAGACCCTGTCTGAACAAAAAACAAAAAATAAATGTGAGTGCACATTATTGTATGTCCCCTTCCTTCATTTAAGAGGAATCCAATTGTCCTTAGTGCTTCTCAATTTAGGTGCATTGTTTCAACATGCAGATTCTGATTTAGTGTGAGCCCAGGGGCCCTGGACTCTGAGTTTCTAATAACCTCCCAGATGAAGTCAGATCTGCTTAAGGGACCAGGAATCCTGTACATTGTTTTCTATTCTTTTTTCAACTTAGCAGCATGTCACAGAGATTCTGTGGCAGAAAATTGATCTTTCTTTGTTAAAACTGTGGTGATTCAATGTAGATATCTGAGTTAAATTGTATCCCACCTTTTGCTGTTGCAAACCCTGTTAGACTGAACAACCATGTACACATGTATACATGCACGCCAGCATACTCATGTTCTGTACACTCATGAATGTACTGGATCGGTTTAGCAGATGAATTCCCAGAAGCTGATGGATTTTAGTGGCTTTAGTGTCAGAGATACTATCACATTAAGTTCTTGTTGGCAGTGTGTGAAGAATGTTTGTTTCTCCACAGCTTCCCCCACAAATACCTGGTTCAGCTTTCAGGTTTTGGGGAGCAGCTAGGTAAAAAGTGGTATTTTATATGATTTGCATCTGCAGTTTTTTCCCCACTGTGGATGAAGTTGGTTAACTTTGTGTGTCTGAAGGTAACTCATATTTTCTGTAAACTGTTAATATTATTTGTCCATTTTCTCTTAGGTTTCTGCCCCACCTTATCTCTGCTACATTAGGGATAATAATCTTTGTTTATTATATGAGTTGCAAACCATTACTTTCCTGTATACGAATCTATGGATTTAACTGCTGTAGCATTTGGAGACATAGAAAGTCCTTTTTACTTCATGATAATGTCCTCTGCTTATATATATCCTACTACCTTTATGCATTTTATGTTTAAATCTAGTTCATTTAAAGTTTATCTTAGTATGCAAGAACTTCATAGTTAAATTATTATAACATCATTCCACACAACACTTTAAATTACAGCGTAAGCTGTAATTTAAACCCAAGGAGACTTCTTGAGTAATATGGCTTTAGACAGTCAATAGGCTATGTAATTCTTTAAGTGTTGCCCTTTCCAGTGTTTGTCCTGCCTTCCAGTTTAATGCTTTTTCTTTGACCATTTGCCTTTGTTCCAAAGAACTTCTCTTTTACTATTCCTTGTGCTGATCTTACAGCAAAAAAGTTTCTCAGCACTTTTTGGTATGAAGATGTTTATACCTTCCTCTATGAAAGGATATTTTCTCTAAATACAGAATTCTAGGTTGGAATTTTTTCTTTTCTTTTCCCCTTTTGTGCTTTAAAGACATCATCCTAGTGTCTCTTGTTTTTATTTTGAGAATTCAATTTTAAACCTTCCTCCTTGAAGACAATTGGTATTTTTTCCTTTGGCTGCTACCCTGCAGAAGGTTCAGGGCTCCCACCCAGCAATATGACATACAGATGCAAACAAAATACAGAATATTCTTCAGTTGAGAAGTTCTGAGATGACCCAGTGCTTTCTATGAAACAGAGAGCCACAAGTCCAAAAGCTCATGACTTGTATTGATGTCAGTCAGGGAGATGGGTAGGTGTTGCTGAGGAGTGAGTGCTAGGGAAAAGAAACTTCGCAGGAGTTGGTTGTAAGGAGAAGCAGCAGTTTTGTACCAGGCACTGAGGCCTCCAATTAGCAATACAACAGATGGCTTGATGTAGGCAAGGCTGGCATCTTTACTACCAGGAGAGTGTAATCCTGAGTCCCATAGTCTCAGCCAAGATGTTATCTCATGTCTTAGCCCTGAAACCTCTCAGGCTCTTGCTCAAGCACCCATTCCAGCCATCAGCAATTCTTGCCTGCGATGAGACATGTTGGTATCTTGACCAGACTTGATCATCAAACTTTTAGCCAGTTAAAGGACCACTTGCTTCTGTTTCGCTAGCTCTACATAGCTCAGTGAGCAGGGTTGAAGTAAGGGTCAGGGAAAGATAGAGGCAAAAGGCTTCAATATTCAGGAGAACATACCTTGGCTGTCTCCCACAGGCTGCCTATGAAATTTTTTCTTTTTCTTTTTGATTTCTAGTAGTTGATACTTGATACAACTTGATTTTTTTCTGTACATATTTACCCTGTATTCTGAGGGATTTTGATTTTGAGATGTGACATTTTTTATAAGTTTGGGGAAATTCTCAACCATTTCTTTTCTGCAAATATTCTGTACTTTCCTTCTGGGATCAGTTCGTTCTGGGGTCTTCTACTGTAATCCTTTACCGAATGGTACTTTCCAGCCTTCTTCCTTTGCTTGTCTGCAACTTCTCATTCTGACAGAAATTTGGCCACCATTGTCCACCTTGTTAATTGTTCAGTTCTAGTATATAAGTGACCTCAGAGTTGTTAACCTCTGGGCTCCGGTGTTTGTTGATTGTGTGCATGTATTTATTTTTCCCTTTTTTCTGGCTTGGAGGATTGGATCCAAGGCTTTATGTGTGCTGGACAAGCGCTCTACTTCTGAGCCATATCCCCAACTCCTCTATTTCTTGATTATAAGTTAAGCTATTGGAAACTTTCACATGCAGGTTTTGGTACAGATTTAAGTTTTAAAATGAGTGAATACCTAGAGTGTGAAATTGATGGATTGTATGGTAAGAATTATAATTTAGTTTAGCTTTGTACATAGTTGCTCAGCTGTTCCAAAGATGTGACATCATTTAATGTTCTTTAATTTAAATCTTACTTTTTTGCAATATTGGGGATTGAATGCAGGGCCTTCACACTGAGCTACATCCTGGGCCCTTTATTTTTATTTGGAGATAAGATCTCACTATGTTACCCAGGCTGTGCTCAAACTTGTGATCCTCCTGCCTCTGCCTCCATGTATTGTGGGATTACAGGTATGCATTATTACAAGTTCTTTCATTTCTTTCAATTTTTGCCTTACGTATCTTGACAGTCTTTTTTGTTAGGTACATCTGGCTTCAGTTTGTATATTCTTTCTCTAATGTGATTTTTTTTGGTAGTAGGAATCGAACTCACAACCACACACTTAGCAAGCAAGAGCTTGAACCAGTGAACTAAATCCCCAGCCCCCATTCTAATGTGATTTTGAATCCATCTAGTGAGCTCTAATTTCAGATATTGTATCTGGTAACTCTACTGCACCCACTCTGTGTGTGTGTGTACATCTACATAAGAGATACCTGAGATCACCACAGGCTCAGGGACTCCCTAGGGTAATTCAGCAGGTGGTCACTTTTAGAGTAAAAGGATATAAAGCAAAATCAGCAAGCTACTAAGAGTCTTCTCCCTCTGGAGTCTTGCAGAACAGCTCAGGTGTGTGTCAGGGAAGGTTGGACATTTGTTGCCCTAAGTTTTTATCAGGGGCTAGTTACATAGATACTATCTGCCTAGTATGTAGCAAAAGTCTAGCCTCTCAGAATGCATATACTCAGTGTAACCAAACTACACAAACAGCTCAGGTGTGGTGAGTTGTTCTTACTAGGGAGTGTGACATGGTAAGCCTCCTTCTGAGATCCACACCCCTAACTGCCAGCCCCCGGGCCCTGCAGCAGGCTTTTCAGAGATCAGCATTCTCTGACCTGCTCCCCACACAACACAAATGCCATATAACTAGTGAGCTTTTTCCATTATTGTGTTGTTCATATTTTCCTCTATTTTACTGAATATATTAATCATAATTCACTTTCAAATTCTTGTAAATTCCAGTACTTGGGTCACCCATGGCTCTGCTTTTATTGTCATTTTTCTTGGGTGCCTGTTCCATTTTTTTTTTTTTACTGGATAGCAAATACTGTGTTTTTGGGTGCTTTGTTTTGTTGCTGTGTGTTTGGGTGCTTTGATACAGGGTCTTGCTATGTCGTCCACAATGGCCTTGAACTCGTGACAGCCCTCCTTTTTCAGCCTTCCAAGTGCTAGATTCATGGGCCTACACCACCATGCCCAGCTGAATATTGTGTGTAAAAACAAGGAAACATCTATGATGATGCCAGAAAATGATTTCTTCAATCAGAAGAGATTGATCTTTTTCTCTGGTAACTTTAATCAGTTATGAGTTTCTCGTGGTCAGGGCCTGAGCCATGCTCATTTCAATCTAATTATTGATCTTAGTGACTGCCAGTTTTGTTTCCTGGTGAAAGTTACCTAATAATGTGAAAGATACTGTTTCTTTTTTTTAAGATACTGTTTCTTATTAACTCCAACATACACTTTTAGCTCCTCCAGTGCTCCTGAGTGTATCCTGATCAAGCCATCAGCACTTCTGAACCATGCTTTTTGTTTGCAAAACAAACCTTCAGTAGAAATTCAGTTTGTATAAGATATCTGGTCTACTGTAGCACAAAAAGAGCTATTTTAGTTGTCATTTTTCAGTAAACTCTATAGAAGCATTAGTTCTGTTGAACCTTTTCTACATCTAATTCTGACCACTTCACATAGAAAAGGGACATTCTCTTTCAGGAACAAGTGTCATTCAAGGATGTATGTGTGGACTTCACTAAGGAAGAGTGGTGTCTGCTGGACCCCACTCAGAAGCTACTGTATAGGGATGTGATCCTGGAAAATTACAGCAACCTTGTCTCAGTAGGTAAGGATTTTTTTTTACGTGGCTGATAATCACATTCATTTTCAGCTCCTAAAAGTGAATGCCCTGAACTTTTCTGATTTAAAGCTTGAGATTCAAGGCTCTGGTATGACTGATCCCTTGTGGCTGTTACAAAGAATATTTTCTTACCACCTGAGGGATTGGTTCATTCAGGTACCTTCTTTGAACAGTTCTTTAAACTGTACTTTTCTTTCCCTTAAGTTTTTCAGTGACTGCAAAGGTGAGCTGTTTACCCCACTTTTGTTATTTCCTCTTGCCAGGGCATTGCATTGCTAAGCCAGAAGTGATCTTCAAGATAGAGCAAGGAGAGGACCCCTGGGTGTTGGAGAAGAGATTCCCAAGCCACCACAACCCAGGTAATTTACCAGGGCCACAGACAGTGAAAGGCAAGAGGAAATTAGTCTTACATTGGGGCTGGGGATTTAGCTCAGCTGCATAAGCACCTGCCTTGCAAGCAGGTGGTTGTGAGTTCGATCCCTGGTACTGATAAAAAAAAATTAGTCTTACATCATTGGTGTAGAGTTTGTCAGCTTTGGAATATTTTTCAGAAACTTTGGTTTTTAGCCAGAAATCTTTGGAAATGACCAGGGACATGTGGCCCACATCCTGTTACCTCTTTTTTCCTCCTACTGGGGTCTTCACTGAATTATTATTTCCTCACCCTGCCTTTTCTTTTTTTTTTTTTTTTTTTTGTAGAAGTGTTTTGCTAAGTTGCTGAATTGCTCAGGCCAACTCTGACTTGCAGTCCCCCTGCCTTGGCTCTGTGCCACCATGCTTGGCTGTTCTGTTACCTTAGTTGCTCCTCCAGGTATCACTGTCACTCATAATTGCTTTTCTTTCTTGATACTTTCAAGTGACTTACTTTTACCCCTAAAGTCAATTGACCTTATCTTAGATATTTTTTCTTGGTTGGATTTTCTTTCTTTTCAAGTTGTTCATCTTCTCTCTGTTTTTATAGAATATCTTTTATTAGCCAGCATACACACAATATATTCATGTACTTCTTCCACAGATCCATTTAACAAATACATGATGATGAATGTTTACAGTGGCCCAGATACGTTTTAGGTAATAAAGAATAATGTCCCTGGTGTCACAGAGTATATATTACCTGAGTGGCACACACAGGCATGTATGTAAATGTGTGTGTGTGTACGTGCAGACCCTCTTGGGTGAAGGGCAGTACTGTGAAGAGTTCGTATGAAGAAAGGAGGATGAGCGCATGAGGGAATGTCCTTTGGTGGAGGGGTCAGAGAGGACTTTTATGAGGTTCCACATGAGTCACAAACCTTGGACAGAGTGAATGTGAGCTGTGTGGATCAAGAGTATGCAGGAAGGGAGCACACTGAAGGCCAGCTCTCTCAGACAGGTGTGTGCTTGGACTGTTGGAGCAGTGCTGGGGAGCTGGATGTGACCGGAAGTTACTGGCAGCTATCGGCCTTCTCTGTAGTGACTGTGCTGTGGTGTGTTGAGCTGGACACGCAAACAATAGCAGTTAGGGAGGTATCGGCTCCAACCGCCAGAGGTCCTGAGGAGGAGATGAAGAAAGAGTATAAAGGACAGAAAGAGGCAAGAATGTTTCAGTGATTTGTCTCAAGCAATTGGATAAATTAGGAGCCATTTCTGAGCTAAAAAAAATTATGGAGGAGACATGATGGGAGTTTTGGCAGGTTTAATATTGGACAAGGTTGGGAGTAACTGTTAGGATCTAATCCTGTATTGCCTGGGAGGTTAGAAGTGTTTCAGTATGGAGTTCATGGCTGGGGCCAACTCTGAAAGGCTCCAACATCAGAGGGTGTCAGAGAGAATGGGCTAGATTTTGTGAAAGGCCAGATGGTCACCAGGTGATGTGGCATACTCTTGATTCTAGCACTTCAGAAGGCTGAAGCAGGAGGATAACAAGTGCAAGGACACCCTGGGCAATTTAGTGAGACTCTAAAAATCAGTGCTAGGGCTGAGGATTTAGCTCAGTGGCATAAGTGCCTGCTTTGCAAGAGCACGTTTGTGAGTTCAATCCCCAGTACCAAATAAATAAATAAATCAGTGCTAGAGTACTTGCTTAATAGGTATGAGCTCTTGGTTTAGTCTGCAGTACTGCAAGAAGGAAAAAAGAGGCCATAAGTGCCTCAGTGGCCTAAGCGCCTGCTTGGCAAACGCAATGTCATGAGTTTAATCCCTGAACCAAAAAAAAAAAAAAAAAAAAAAAAGGAAAAAAGAAACACCAGACACCAGACAGCCAGGTAGTAAGTGTGTTAGGCCTGTTGGCTGCATGTGGCCTTTGCTGCTATTGATCTTCCTTTTCCTTAGTTTTTTTTCTCTCCCTCTTCGTCCCTCCTACCTCCCTACTGCCTCTCCTACCCTTCCCCTTTTAAAACACGGAAGACAGTCTTAGTGGCGGCGCCATTGCCATAGTTTGTCACCTTTTACTAGAACCTGGTTGTATGTAGGTGAGCGTAGTCCTGGGACAGTACTACTTCTCCAAGGGGTCAAATCCATCCGGTGGAAGAGATTGAGAGGGAACAACTTGAGCTACACAGAAGCCAGCAAATGCACTTCCCAGGAGTCAGATGCCTTCTGAGTTTCCTGTGCACATTTGTTGTCACCTCTTCCTAGCTTTATAATACTCTTATTTTTCTTTCAAAACTGCTCATATCTCTTCTGTGTTTCTTCATTCCTGATTAGCTGTAATTTCTAATTGGTTCTTTTGTGTTTGTTTTTCCTTAAAGCATTCAATTTATCTTTCACTAACCTGACAGGTACCTGTAGAAATAAATGAAATTAAAGTCTTCTTTCGTTGACTATTGTAATGAGGTTCTATTCTGTCTTAACATTTATTTTTTCTACTCTCCATACTGTATTTCATTTCATATTGTCCTGTGTCTTAAATTATGTTTATGCATTCACTTACCTAAAGCTTACTTTGCCTTTTTGCAGATAATTAATACTGAATATGTAGTGTTTCAACATTGCATAGCGATAGATGATAGAGGCTTGGGAGTTTTTTGTTGTTGGTTTGTTTTGCTTTTTTTTTTGTTGGTCTTTTTGAGACAGGGTCTTACTGTGCAGTTCAGACTGGCCTTGAATGACCCAGGCTCACCTCAGACTTAGAGCAGTCCTTCTGAGTTCTGGAATTACAGTGTGCACCACTATACCCAGCATGGCTTATTTTAATTGTTTTAAGGTAGAGCAATATTTTAATGTTAATAGACCATATTTTATGACTGTAACCCACTAGTGGCCATAAGCTCCAAATTCTGATGATCAAGTATCTGTTGTTTTGAGTTTCTTTTCCTACTGAGATTTCATTCTTCCAAAAAGAAGGGCCACTTTTTTCCTAATTTTAAAATTTGGGTAGAGTGTTGATTTCCTATGGAGCCAAGTTTAGGAGAATTTCTCTTTCATCCCTTCAAAAAATATTCTGTAGTACTCTTCCTAAATGTACATTCCCATATTTTGTCCTGGTATTTCAACTCACTAGGTAGAGGTTGGAAATAATCCCTACATGCATTGCTTTTTTAAAATTTAATTTAATTTATTTTTTGTACTGGAGATCAAACTCAGAACTTCATTCTTGCCAGGCAGGCACTTACGCCACTGAACTAAATCTCCAGCTGTGCATTGCTTCTGAAGAACCATTACTGTTCTTTCTCCTCACAAGAAGCAAGGAAAATGAGACTAACCACATGTCACAAGGCAGGCTGTGGTCACACAGAGGGTTGGTGTAGAGCTAGGGTTTTATGTTACAGTGAGTTACACGGACAGTAGTTACTAAAAGATAGAATGCATGGAGTCTTACAGTGATAGGATTATTATATTTTTGTCTTTTATTGGTCATTGTTGCTGTTTTCTGTGATTATGGTTACTCTAGCACTCTTTTCTATTATCATTGTTGCTTTTTTAGTTAAGGAAAGTAGCATTTCACTGAACAGGCTCCACCTTCCCAGGAAAGCCCCGGGTAGAATGCTTCTAGTTGAGTGATGGGATGTTGTTAATGAGAAATTTGCAAGAGCTGATAATTAGCTATATCTGTACAGACATTTATAATGGATTTATGGAATATTGAATATTTCAATGTGAATCAGTTGGTGTATTTTTTGTTTGATTGTTTCTTTCAGTTTGTTTTTTGCCAGGATGACAACTTCCACCTGTTGGTCACTGGAGCAGTGTACTCAGGGATGCCCTGCCATAGGGTGTGTGTGTGTGTGTGTGTGTGTGTGTGTGTGTGTGTGTGACTGAATGTGACTGAATACTGAACCCAGAGCTTGACACAGAACTCTGCCACTAGGTTATATCCCCACTCCTTTTTTTTTTGAGACAGGGTCTTGCCAGACTGACCTAAAACTTGGAGTCTTCATGCTTCAGGCTCTCCAGTAGCTAGGATTATAGGTTTGCGCCACCACACCCAGCAGATACTCATATTGCTTGGATAGCAGCAGTGAGGTATAGCCAAAAACTTTTGTGATAAAGTATAATGAAGGTCTCAGTATGTACACACACACAAAAAATGGCTCTTACGGGGCCCAGATATAAATAAAGGCCACAGATAAGGCTCCACTTAAATCATCAAACTTAGATATAAAATAAAAACTGAGAGATCAAGGCAGACTTAAAATATGTAGGTATAGAAGTAGTGAGGCTCCTGCTATAATAATCAGGCTGTAAGCAGGTAAGGGTATAAATCTTGTCCTGACTCTGCCACACCACATGCTTCCTCTGTTTCATTTTCTTGACACTGTTTATTAGAGCAGACAACAACAACAAAACCTCATCCCATTCCCAGTGAATTTCCTGTTCTTTGAATAAACAACTCACAGATAAATGTCATTCCTATTCGTCATGTCTGGAGTTTGTTTTACCTCCTCCGGCGTGCTTTTCCACAGTGTTTTAGAAAGTCATTCTTGTCAGTAAAATTAAACTAGATCTGGGCTATCAAAGTATTCTTTTGAACCTGAAGAAGTTGGTGTTCACAAAACTTCAGTCTGGTGTTGATGTACAAAGTAGAAAACATGCATGATTGGGGGCAGAAGCCTGCGCCCATCTTCCAGGCCTAAGGCTAAGCTCAGGGCTAAGCTCTGTCTGTCTCTGCCCCCAGAGATCATTCTGTGAAACTCTGGCAGTGCTTGTCTTCACCTTCCCTTTGCCTCTTTGGGGCCACGTTTCCCTGTTTCTGAATCAGTCGTTCTGTTGACTGCTGTGCGTTTGATTTCCCCTTTGTCATATCCAGTTTTGAACATGATGTGAGCTTAAGCGTCAGCTTCAGCTCCCTACTTCCACAGCAGCATGTCAGTGTTTTCCATTCAAACTGGAGGGAAAAAGAAGTAGATTCAGTTCATTTCTGGAATCCTAGTCTTGACAAGTAATCAACGATGGTAAAGGGTATTCGTCTGAAGTCAAAGTTCACCAGAAATGCATTAACACTCATACGATGTGTTATTTTTCTCATTTCTAGAGAGGAAGTGGAAAGCTGATGACCTGTTAGAGAGCAGCCAGGAAAATCAAGCTGAACCTTTTTGGCAGCTCATATTCACCAACAGCAAAACAGTAAGTGTGGAAGGTGATGACAGAATTCGAAGAACTTTCAGTCTGGACACAAACACCATTTCTTCAAGAAATTTCCCCTTCAAAATATGTGGCTCATGTGAAATGAGTTTGAAAAACATTTCAGGCTTAATTATTAATAAAAAAAACTATTCCAGAAAGAAGCCTGATGAGTTTAATGTATGTGAGAAACTACTCCTTGATTTTAGGCATGAAAAAATTCCTACTAGAGAGAAATCTTATAGTTATGATCCAAAAAGGAATGTCCTCAGTCATCAGGATCTCACTCAACCAATTTTTGATAAACCTTTTGAATATAACGAAAACAGTCCAGGCTTCCATGAGCAGATGACCTTTTTTACAAATCAGAAGTCCCATATAGGGGAGACACTCTGTAGATACACTGAATGTGGAAGAATGTTCAACAGCTTAAAGCTCAATATATCCCGGAGAACTTGTTTGGATATGGAGCCACATGAATGCAGTATCTGTGGGAAGGCCTTCTATGTGGACTTACAGTTCGAACATCAGAGAACTCTTACCGAGGACAGCCTTTATGAGTACAATGAATATGGGGAAATCTGTGACAATTCAACTTTCATTACCCATCAGGGAGCTTACACAACAAAGATTCCCCAAGAATATAAAGTGAATGATAAAACTTGGGAAAAATCAGCGTTCTTTAAAAATCAGATAGTACACTCAGGGGAAAAACGTTTTGAGTACCATGAAAATGGGAATAATTTCAGCAAGAAGCCACATCTAACCCAGTCTCGGAGAGGTCACTCAGGAGAAAAAACCTTTGAATGTGGTGAATGTGGCAAAACTTTCTGGGAGAAGTCAAACCTCACCCAGCATCAGAGAACACACACAGGAGAAAAGCCCTATGAATGCTCTGAATGTGGGAAAGCCTTCTGCCAGAAACCACACCTTACCAACCATCAGCGAACACATACAGGAGAGAAACCCTATGCCTGTAAGCAGTGTGGAAAAACTTTCTGTGTGAAGTCAAACCTCACTGAACACCAGAGGACACACACAGGAGAGAAACCGTATGAGTGTAGTGCATGTGGGAAATCCTTCTGTCATAGATCAGCCCTCACTGTCCATCAGAGGACGCATACAGGGGAGAAGCCCTTTATATGTAATGAGTGTGGTAAGTCCTTTTGTGTGAAGTCAAACCTCATTGTACATCAAAGAACTCACACAGGGGAGAAACCTTATAAATGTAATGAATGTGGGAAGACCTTCTGTGAAAAATCAGCTCTTACTAAACATCAGAGAACTCATACAGGAGAGAAGCCCTATGAGTGTAATGCATGTGGGAAGACCTTTAGTCAGAGGTCAGTACTCACTAAGCATCAGAGAATTCACACAAGGGTTAAAGCTCTTCCAACATCCTGAGTGTTCAGAAACCTTCAAAGACTCAGATTTACTGTACAGTTTTAAAATGAGATTAGAGAAAGCCAAAGAATGTCACAAAACTAGGAAATAACTTCACATTTAAATATGTAAAAGCTTTCAAGACAAATAACTTTACTGGAAAATTTGTACTGAAGTGAGGTCTATTAATTTAAGTAATACTGTAAAAATCTTTTAACATGTCATCTGCCAGATATATATATGGCAATATTCATTTTCACAATGGAATCTGTAGCTTACAAAAACTGAATGACAGTAACATTAAGCATATGCGAAGAGTCCCTGAAGTTTATAGGCCTCATGTGAGTATGCCAATGTAACAAAAATTTGGGATATATTAATTCATATGTTGGAGCCCATGAGCCCTTATTTCACTAACTTATAATATATATTAATATTTTCCACCTACATTCCACCAATGTCTTTGTATGTTCTTAGGATTATATATGTATGTGTACATATATGTGAATGTGTATATATGTAAATATATTTGTTCACACATACTTAGACATTCAGTGATACCCTCATGTTACCTCATACTGACTTAAAAGTACTGCTGATTGTTTTCAGGAATATTGTAAGCCGGTTGTTAAACATGGTCATTATTTAAAATTGTATACATTTACAGTTCTATTTCAAGAGGTAATATTCATCACTTCCTAATAATGTTGCCACATTTCACAGTTACCTGTGTGGTTCAGGTTACTTAGTGTACAGTGAGACTACACTATGATCACGTGCTACAGCATGTGTCTTCCCAGCACGTGCTGGTGGCTTCACCTTAATAAGAATATTTACACTGTGGGAATCGGAAAACTCTACATTTTAGAGTTTTTGTTTCCTTAGAGAACTACTATCACATATTGATAAGCATCCCTATTTGTATATAAAAAGATTGGGCAGGTTTGAAGTACAAACCTCATACCCCCTTTTTTGTTTTCTGAAATAAATAAATGAATATGGGCATTATTACTGAATTGCCTCTTCAATAAAAAAGCCAAAAGATGTTGTTGTGAGGTTTTTAACTACCTCTCCACCAGTGCAATTTTAAATGCTACCAGAGTCTCTCTACAGGTTGACCATGTGTATTTTTAAGTGAAATACTTTTTTTTTTTTACAAAGAACCATGTCACCTGCTTTTGGCTATTTCCCAATGTAGCTGAAGATAGCCAGTATTACCAAACTTCAGTGAAGAATTTAAACAGTATTTTTCTTTTTTAGTTTTTTCAGCTGTCTCTGGCTCAGTCATACAAACACTATTAATAAGGATGGTGTCCACACTATCATGCAAAGGTTAACATCAGTTCTAAACAGCGCTCAACTCCACAGATGAAAAGTGGTGGTATGTAATGACATGCCCCGTTCATATTCTTGGCATCTCATTGTGGCTCATTTCAGGCACGATCTCTGTAACCCCAGCTCTGTGTAGGCCAGGAGATGTGTGCTTGTACTTAGGAGTCAGTGTTACCGTGCATCTCCACCTCCCTTGTTCTGTGCTGTGTTCTCTGGGAACACATTGGTACGGGTTCCAAAAGACACTGCCTACCTGATGCTTCCTTGCTGAGCTGTTTTAGCCGTTTGTCCATCTCCCCTCAGATGCCTTGGGTTGGATCCAGGGTGAACATGTGAACAATGAGTTGTTTTGGGGTGGATACTCTCCTGTACTTCTGGGAATGATTTTGGTTACAAAGTAAAGAAATGAAATCTGAAAGACATGAGAAGAGATTGTCCCTCTTCACTGGACTTTTTCACATCTCCATGGGATATGGCTGTGTGGCCTTGTTGGACACTGACTTGGAAGACAGTGCAGAGTGGGAGAAGTTGATCCTGACATGAGGTCACCGAGCTGCTCAATTCCACCTGCTGTCGTCTGGGCTCTCGTATCACCCCTGATAAATAATAACGCTCTTCTTATTCTTAGGACTTTCTGATACTTAAAGCTGAAGGCTGATCCAGAGGAACACTTTCTAAGTCTTAATATTCTGTACAGTGCTTTGGGGGAAAAAGTATTTATTTTCACAAGTTGATACAAGGATGGATGTTTGTATAGGGCCTATACAGCAGGGAAGAAAAACAACTAAAAGATTTTTACTCGCAGACTTACTACCATGGTGTGGGCCAGAAACAAGGAATATTGACACACCTAGAAAATAGTGTCTGCAGGAAGGCATTTCAGCTCCGAGTCCTTCGGGACAAAGATGGAAACACCATTAGCAGAGCCCCATGAGAACTGCTGTCATCACTATCACTTAATAGAACCACCTGCCAGATTGCTACTGCCTCCCGTGAAGAACCCAAGCAGATGCATTTCAGGTGAGCCCCAGTGGACACTGAAAGGTAAAGGGAGAGTCCGGGTGGAGGAAATGTAAAGTAAGCAGCATGGCATTTTTAATTTCTGTAAATTCCTCTGTAAAAGGCTCAGGATGAGAAATAAAATTATAATGTTAGCTGAAAGCTGTGTCTCTGTTATAGTTCCGTAGTGGCATAAGTAAATTCCCTGTGAAACCAAGCCCTGCACCAAGTACACAGTCTTTAGGGAGACAAATGGAGCAGGCATTTTATTAAATTGCATTATTCACATATCCTGTATCCTTATGAAATAAGCAACTTGAGTATCTGATCAGAGCACCTTGTGGATTTAATGTAGCAGTATGACGCATGCACTCAGACATGTCGTGACCATTATTTGTCTCCCTGGTGCAGCTTTCCCTCAGTGTAGAACCTGTCCTCACCACAAAGGCACTTACCGGAGGTGGTGCTCTTCGTGACCTGTATTGCTGCAAATACAGGAGTGATCATGTGTTCCCCAACGAACCAATGAGAATGCATCTTCAGGTAGTCTTTCTAGGATATCATCAAGCATCATGTTTTTGTTTGTGATGGAAGTTTTACAAATTTCACAAAGAAAATGCACTATTCGTATGTGTTTGTGTATGTGTGTATTTTGAGACACTGTAATCCAGACCAGGTTTAAACTCACTAGCCTAGGCTGGTCATGAACTCTTGGGCTTCCTGCTTCAGCCTTTTGAGTGCTGGGATTACAGGCAAGCGCCTTTACCCCAACTTCCTTGCATTACAATTCAATCAGCCTGCAGCCAACACAAAACAATATACACTTACAAAGGACATGATAGCATTTAGTGCTATTAAGAAGAGAAATCAGCAGAGGGATGGCTTGGTTTTAGATAGAAAAATATTTCACTGAGGAGGCTACCTTAGTGGAGGAGCCAAGTGTGTATCTAGAGGAAGAGTGTGAGGAGGTATAGAAGCCTATTTCCCCAACAGTTTCACACAATTTTTTGCTTCATGAAACAGCACTTAGTCCTAATGACCTAATGTATTTCGATACTTTCTTTTGTGACCTCCCTTTCCCAGCCTCTTCTTAGCACTTAGGTGCTTGGGCTTTGCCCATGCAGGAAAATTCTTGACCACAGAGCTACATCCCCATTCCTCAGATACCACTTTGTAAGAGAACAATCCCTTCAGGTACCTGAGAAGGTTGAGAAGTGACATTTAATATCATCCTTTCCATATGTAGAGTCCATACTTCGGGACAGTTATTCCTCTGGGCTTGACATCCTCATCTATAAAATGGGGATGAGGGTTATCCATTTGTAAGACTTATCTCTTAGCTTGCTTCCAGGAATGAACACTGAAAATTCTCAGTACTTTTCCTGCTATGGAGGTTCCGAAGGCCAGTGCATGTGCTCAGGGAAAGATACAGAGTAAGAAATAATCCCAGAAGACCTACATTTATATGTCAGACTAATATTTGGCACAGAGAGCCTACAATAATTTAAAATTGAAAGAAAAGAACATAGGGGTTGGGAGTTTAGCTCAGCAGCACAAGCGCCTGCCTGGCAAGTGCAAGGTTGTGAGTTTGATCCCCAATACCAAAAACAAACAAACAAAAACCAAACAAACAAACAAAAAAAACCTCGAGAAAGTCCTGAGAAAGAATTCTCCAAATATATGAAATTCAGACTTCAACTTTCAGCAACAAAAATCACAAGATATATTTTTAAAAGGAAAGGATGGCCTCTATAAATACAAAAAAATAACAGAATCATTTCTGTGAAAGATCAGATGATGCACTGAATAGACAAATACTCTAAACCACTGGTTTGAAGATGTTTAAGGAGCTGAAAGATGATGTGAACAAAGCATGTAGAAAATACTAAAGCTGAAAAGTACATTAGTAAAGCTGGGTTGGTGGCACATGCTTGTAATCTCAGCACTGGGGAGGCTGAGGCAAGAGGATCATTGCAAGTTCAAGGCCAGCCTGGACTATACAGCGAGATCCTGTCTGAAAAAAAAATACAGTAAGTTAGTTTGATAGAGGAATTCAGAAGCATATTTGAGTAGCTATAAGAATCAATATAGTTGGAGATAGAACTTGGGATGACCCACTCTGAACCACAGAAGGAACAAAGATCAAAGAAAAGTGAACAAAACCAATGAGACTTTAGGACACCATTACGTAAACCAATATATGCATTGTTGGAGTGACAGGTGTGAAGTGCTAAGAAATAATGGCTAAGTTGTCAAATTTGATGAATTACATGAATATAAAAATGCAGGAAGCTCAATAAAATCCAAGGAAGATAAAGACAGATACATGGAGGCACTCCCTGTCAAAACGTCAAAGGCCAACACCAGAAAGAGAACCTTAAAAGCAGGTGTAACTCGGGAAGAGCAGTCCCCCAGCACATACAAGGTCGCTGGCACTCTAAAACAGCAAGAACAAAACAAGGCAGCAAGAGAGAAGTAACTCATGTGCAAGGGGTCCTCACCAGTGTTAACAACAGGTGTGTCTCTGCGGAAACCGTGGAGGTTAGAAGGCAAGTGGGTAGGGATAGTCAAAATGATCAGGCTGAAAAATAATCCTATATTCAGAAAATTCAACTTTTGAGGAGGAAGTTAAGGTATTTCTGAATAAAAGCCAAAGGAGTGTTGCCACTAGAACTGCTCTTCAAGGAATGCTAAAGCCAGACATGACAGTGCATGCCCGTGAGCCCGGCCGGCACTCAGAGGCAGGAGGATTGCAGACTCAAACCCAGCCTGGCAACTTAGTGATTTAGCCAGACCCTGTCTCAAAATTAAAACAATTAAAAATCAGGATTGGGACATAGTTCACTGTGAAGGCCCAGGGTTAAATTCTCAGTACCAAAGGGGAAACAAAAGAATAGAAAAAAGATAGCATTCTCTGACCAGGAATGTTTATTACTGAAATCAAAGAGTGCTTCAGCATAGGAAAATGAATACAAAATCCCAGATTAAAATACTAGACTATGCCAAGTGTGGTGGTGCATGCCTGTAATCCCAGAATTTGGGAGGCTGGGGCACGAGGATCACTGGCAGTTGGAGGCCAGCCTGGGCTACATACTGAGTTCAGGGCCAGGCTGAACTACGTAGCGAGACCCTGTCTCAAAAACAAACAAAATACCACATTCACAACAAATTGAAAGTACAAAACAAAACAAAACACTCCATGATCCTCTTAATTGAAAAAGCATTTAACAAAATTAAACACTTTCCTAATAATGCACAGCATATGGTAACATAAAAATAGAAGGAAACCACCTCAATGTAATAAATCGATATATACAAAATCCAGAGTGAGACTGAAGGCTTATGTTCAACACAGGGTTTGAGGATCTAGATGGAATAGGCAAGAAAAGGAAAAAGGACGTTTGAAAGAAAAAGGAAAGGACTGGGGAGGGAAGGGATATGGAAAGAATTCAGATGTGTTCTGTACATGTACCAACTCCTGAAAGTGAATGTGGTTACAAGCACGTACTCATAAAAATTTAGAAGCAAAAAATAAGACTTGATCTCACTGTATTTCTAGTCTTCACCAGGGATCACAGAAGATTGGTAACAATTAAATCCCTTCAATAACAGATGTTGGTGATAAAATAGTCTCAGGTCCACTATCCTTATATACACTGTGCACAACCAAAAGACAATGCTTGCTTTTCACTGATGGTTTTGTCTAACTACAAAGCAAGATGCTCCCAAACACAAGATATGGTAACCATGACTTCACATGCATATCAGACATGAGCTTTCTGAGGCAGGAGGCCTGAAAGAAATTCAAAGATAAACTGATTTCATCTTTTAAGTTCAAGTTCCAGCTTCTTTGAAAGAAAGCTGTTCTTCTGAAGAAAGGAGGGGCCCAGAACAGGAATCCCGCGCTGAAGATCAAGCTGCAGTTCTGAAACATCTCAGCACCACACATCAAAGGAAAGAAGAATGCCTGAGCTTATCTTCATCCGGCTCAGAATGAGTGATGTTCTGTTGACCTCATCACATAAGATCTGGGCCACTGTCCAGAGGGAATGGCTGAGTAGGGACTGGGGTAATAGAGAGTCAAAATGGAGAGTCATCCCTTGGAGGTTGATGTGGGCATAGTCTGCAGGGAAAGATCCCAGGCACAGCTAAGTCAGTTCCATCTCCAGCATCTAGTAAACATGTTCTCCCCTCAACCTTTCCAGGTTCTGAGTTGCCCTCATACGTGTCCATTTTACCATGTGCCCTCAAGACTTAGGCTGCTAATTGGTCTGCCTTGACCCTGCAGAATCAGAGGTGGATCATCAGTATCTTCTTCATTGCAAAGCTAAGAAACCTTAATTCTAAGTAACCTGCCCAGAATCACCTAGCTTATTAGTGGCAGTATTGGGAGTAGAAGATTCCTGTTCAGTATAATAGGTAAGTTACTGACAAGGTTCTATTGCAGTTGAGTTACAGACAACCAATGTTTAAAATAGATATTTCTCCACATCACTCCAATTCTTTTTTTGCAGAGTCATTCCTCTAAACATAAGCAACCCAGGACAAATGTAAATAAGCCTGAGGATTTTTCTTGCAGCATGCATAACAAAAGCTAACAACTTGTCTTCTAATGCAGTTATTAAATTAGTTTTGTACTGGTTCTGGTTGTAGAAGAAAAATGTAAGTGATCACTAGGAAAGAACCCAATGAGTAATGGCACAGCCAAGTTCTGACAAGCTCTTACCAGGGTCACATATGTGAATTCTCATTTAACATAGTTCTTGCAGTCCTGTTTCAAGGACCACAGACACTTTGGCCTAGCGGAGACACTTAGTCAGCTGATGGGCAGAGTTTTATAAGAAGCTGAATCGCACAGGTCCATAGTAGGCTGGGTCTTGCAGGTCCTATTTTATTCTCCTGTAATGATCCATTCAACATTTCCTGTACTTTTCCAAGAATAACAACAACAAAAACAGTTTTTGGTGAGTTTTTTATTCACTAATCACACTATTTTCCTTTGTGTGAAATGATACTATTAAAATGGTAGAGATTATTGAGGATTGTATAGAGTTAACATGTAAAACAGGACAAAGTGAATGTGCCAATCATGAAAATAGTTATAGTTTTATCTTGGTGAACACTTATTTATTTATTTTGGGTTTTTTAAACAAGGTATCACT